GATAGCAGGCATAACTTAGAGATATTTCAGGGTTCGATTCCAGACTACTACAGTAAAGCAAATATCGCAATAAAACAAGTCTCCTGACACTTTTGGTTTCCCAGCATATATAAGTTAGTTTATATTATACTGTAGTCTATTAAATGTACAATAGCATTATGAAAAGGTTTGAAATACTGTGAAAATTACCAAAATGTAACAGAAACAAGATGTGAGCATGTACTCTTAGAAAAATGGCACCAATAGACTTGCTCACAAACATTCAATTTGCAAAACTAATATCTGCAAATCTCAGTGAAACAAGCTATGCCTGTATGCCTATAATTCTCTAAGGAAAAAGGAGTTGGGAGGTTAGTAAATTGTTGTTAGGTGCTGTCAAGTCAGTTTCTACTCAGAGCTGTCCTGTGTACAACAGAAGGAAACATTGCCTGGTCCTGCACCATCCTCACAATTGTTGCCATGCTTGAGCCCATCATTGTAGCTACTGTGTCTTGTCTGTCTTGTTAAGGGTCTTCCCCTTTTTCACTGATGCTCTACTTAGCACAATATCCTTTTCCAGGGACTGGTCCCTCTGACAACATGACCAAAGTATGAGAGAAGTCTGACAGTTCTTGCCTTTATGGAGCATTCTTGCTGTACTTCATCCAAGACAGATTTGTTCATTTTTATAGAAATCCATGGTATATTCTATATTCTTCATCAACACTACAATTCTAAGGCATCAGTTCCTCTGTGGTCTTCCTTACTCATTGTCCAGCTCACATATGCATTTGAAGCTATTGAAAATACCATGGTTTGGGTCAGGCACACCTTAGTCCTCAAAGTGGCATCTTTGCTCTTAAACATTTTAAAGAGATCTTTTGTAGCTGATTTTCCTAATGCAATGCATTGTTTGATTTCTTGACTGCTACTTGCATAGACATTCATTGTGGATCCAAGTAAAATTAAATCCTTGACAATTTCAGTCTTTTCTCCATTTATCATGATGTTGCTTATTGGTCCAGTTGTGAAGATTTTTGTTACTTTGTTTGTTTGTTTGTTTGTTTGTTTGTTTGTGTTGCGGTGTAATCCATACTGAAGGCTGGAATCTTTGGTCTTTACCCTTAAGTGCTTCAAGTCTTCTTCATTTTCAGTCAACGAGGTTGTGTCATCTATATATCACAGATTGTTAAATGAGTCTTCAAATCCTGATGCCACTTTCTTCTTCATATAGTCCAGCTTCTTGTATTATTTGCTCATTATACAGATTGAATAAGTAAAGCGAATAGATAAAACCTTCATATATACCATTCCTGCTTTTAAACCACACAGTCTCCCCTTGTTCTGTTGAAGTGACTGACTCTTGGTTTCTATACAGGTTCTCATGAGCACAGTTATTAAAGATTAGGAAAAGTGAAGTTAACAGAAAAGGATTATTATGCTGGTAGTAGCAAGAGTGGTACCGTATCGTAAGAGAGTTTCATGCAGAAGTTAGTATCAAATACAGAAAATCCTAGGAAGCTACAGATTCAGCATAAAAGATAAAAAGATCTCTCAAAAAGATGATAGTTTATAACAATCAGTAGAAATTATTCTGTTGTTGTTAGATGCTGTCGAGTCGACCCCGACTCCTAGCAACCCCATGTACCACAGAATGAAATACTGTCCAGTCCTGTGGCAGCCTCACAGTCCTTGCTATACTTGAGCGCATCGTGGCAGCCACTGTGTCAGTTCATCCGATTGAGGGCCTTCTCCTTTTTCGTTGACTCTGCACTTTACCAGGAATGATACGCTTCTCCAGGGAATGGTCCCTTCTGCAATTTTAGAAATGCAGTAAGGATGGAGGATACACGAAAGAGAGAGTTACTTTGAGGTGGGAGGTATTTCAGTTTTGAAAGTCTGTGAGGACTGGCGTTTTTGTTCGTGAGTCAGCATTCACAAGCAACATAAAACAGTGAAAAAATTTAGTCAAAAAACTGTGTTTCTGTCCTGGCAGTACTCATGACAGGCTGCAAAACCTTGAAGAAATACTTAACTTTTGCTGTTCCTTAATTTATGTAGTCTCTAATACAGTTCAAATAAATTACCATGCCTTTCTCACTGGAGTGCTATGAGCTCTAAATAGGTAATATACATTTAAACAATTGTATACCACTAAACACTGTGTTTTTCCTATTGCCATTTGAACAAGTTACATTTTATTAAAACTTTTTTGCTTTAAATGAATGCCACAATTTGAAAAACCCATACGAATATTTTCCTTTGTTTCATTATGCATTTTAAAAATAAATTTTCTCTAAAAAATTCAAGTGTTATTAATTTGCATGTTGATTTAGGTTTACCAAGTTGAAGAAGAAATGCGTGGACTTTTGGAAGAAACAACCAAAAACAAAAGAGCAATGGAAGAAAAAATTAAGCAACTGGCTTTTGCGCTATGTGAAATCCAGCAAGAATTGTGATGGTTTTGAGAACATGCCTAATTGAAATGGACCAGAAAACCTGTTGTAAAAATGATTAAATACTGTAACAGTAGCAACTGCTGTGACTTTGAAATTTGTCTTTCTACACTTCGTTCTGAATATATTTTCAAAGACTTGTGATCAAGTATTTATTAATTGTATATACAGGTGTTTATAATAAATTGTTAATAGTTATGTGTATTAGAAAAAAAGCCTAGCAGAATAACTAGACTTAAAAACTTTTTCTTGTTTTTGTGCTATATATTATTTGGTAATTACATATTTGCCTGTAAATATATAAATGAAAATACTAGTACTTTGACTATACAAGGGAAAGTATTTTAATCGTTGCTAGCTTATTGTGTTATTGAAGAACAAATGACATTTATTGGTTGTCATTTAGTTGTTGTACCCCTGTTCTTTTAAAGTGTTAGAGCATAAGTATAGCCAAAAAGTATTTGAAATCTGTAGGATAAAAGATGTGGCATTCTTAAGAAAGTATATGTATCCATCTCCACATAATAATTGCATTTAAGGTTTTATATACATTTTTCACTTAAGAGAAAATCTTGAAAGGAGCAAGAAAAAACTGTTTTTACCATATGCAGAAAAATTAACAGCTGACTTACCAGAAACAGTAGAAACCAAAGGTAGTAAATGATATATTTGAGGTGCTAGAAACTATCGATCAAGAATTCTAAAACCACCAAAACTATTCTTCAAAAATAAACACGAAATGAAGATATTTTCAGGTAGACAAGGACCAAGAAAAAATTTATTGCTAGCCAACCTGCCTTAATGGAAATGCTAAAAAGAAGTCCTTAAGCTAAAACGAAATGGCACCAGACTGTAACTCAAATCCACTGGAAGAAATGAAGAGTATTGGAAATAGTAGACATGTAGATAAATACAGAGATTGTATAACCAAATCCACACTCAGCTGTCATCAAGACAGACCCGACTTATAGTAACCCCTCCTTGGGTTTCCGAGGCAGTATCACTACTGAAGTAGATTGCCCATCCTTCCTTCCGAGGAGTGGCTAGTGGGTTTGAGCCACCAGCCTTCTGGTTAGCAGTCAAGTACCTTAAGCACTATGCCAACATAGCTCCTACAGAGACTATATACATGTATAATTTTTTCTTTCAACTAGAAGACATAGATTATATAAAGCAATTACAATGCTATTCAATTGATAATAAAAGTAATATATATGACAAATAGCATGAAGTTGGGGGATAGAAAAGGAGCTATTTTGTAATAGTTTCTGTATTTTACCAGATTAAATTAGTACTAATCTAAAAGCAACTACCATACATTAATACAATAGTTAAATCCTCAGAACAACCACCAACAAAATAAAAGCCATTCTTAATATATAAAACATGGAGCAGGAGGTTCCACCTCGAGAGTGGCGGCATAAGCAGCTCTGCAGCTCCGTTCCTAGTGAAAAACGTAAAATCTCTGGACATTGTCTTCAGGACATATAGCAAGTGAAACAGCATTCAAGAACGTCGAAAGCAGTGCAAGCAAAACGAGAGCCTGTGACACTTGGTGTGGACGTAGCTCTTCCCCCATTCCACTTGAGCCTAATAGACGCTCCACTCTGAATATGACCAAGACTCTGGGTTTTCCTCCGTTCAGCTTCCAATCAAGTGATACTGTAGCTCACTGGGATTGGCAGGCTGCCAGCATTTCTCATCTCTGAGTTGCTGGAGTTAAGTTTCTAGTTGAACGTAGCAAAGAGGAGAGCCCTGGTTGGTCAGTGGTTAAAAGCGCTCAGCTACTAACCACGAGGTTGACAGTTTGATCCATCAGCTGTTCCACAGGAGGAACATGTAGCAATGGCAGTCTGCTTCCTTAAAGATTTACAGCCACAGAAACCCTATAGAGCAATTCTACTCTGTCATACAGGGTTGCTATGAATCAATGACGAGAGTGGGCTTTGTTCTCCCAATCCCCATTCTGGAGCAGAAACTTTACCCTAGGCATGCTAGGCCAAGAGTATTGGTGTTCTCATTGCTCTTGCCCCAGTTTGCTAAAGCAGAGACGTTCCACCCTGGGAAGGGTAACCCTAGGAATTCAAAAGCTAGTTACTTTTCCTGGTCATGGCTGGAGCTCTTAAGATTTTTGACCAAGGTCAGAGAGTAGAGGACTCAAGTTCTTGCCAAAGGAATTGGCTTTCTCTGGAAGTTGGAAAGTGAATGTTGGAAAGTGCAAGCATAAGGGGACCATCAAAAATAATGGAATTCAATGACAGCAACAATATAAACTGTCAGCCAGCTAGATTACCAGACAGTGAAGATCCTTTGTGGAGTCAGAATAAAACCTCTAAGACTAACCTCAAAAACTACCCCTCTGCCTGAATTTAATTGAAGGAATCTAGCGATTTTGCCCAAGGGTGTTGTCAAAAACAGAGCAATCACCTGGCAATTGGTAGACCCTAACAACTGGGTATGATGTTAAAAAGTTTAACAGATGAGGGAAAGCCCTACTGAAACTACAGTTAGTTTGACCACATTCTCAAGGCTCTGCTCTCAGATGAAAGAGATCAGAGGCCTTGCATTACAGGGGAAATAAACCAAACTCACTGCCACTGAGTTGATTCTGACTCTTGGTGACCCCCATTGGGTTTCTAAGGCTGTAAATCTTTACAGAAGTAGATTGCATCTTTCTTCCACAGAGCAGCTGGTGAGTTGGAACCACCAATGTTTTGGTTAGCAGCCAAATGCTTTAACCATTATACTATCAGAGTTCCTCAATAGGGAAAATAGACTTTTCTAAAATAATCTTACCAATCCAGTAAACACTACAAAAGCCTCATAGATAAGGGAAGGGAATTAGTAGAGAATTGCTAAAATGTCCACTTCTTACAAAAACAGATATACAAAGATACAGGTAAGTAAGACACTGGTTTCATGGGACAGTCCAGTAAATTGGCATAATGCAGTTTCTTAAACTTTATGTTCTGCCTACTATGGTGACTCATGTCTGGTCTTAACAGCTTATAAATGGCATCTAAGATAAAATTATTGGTCTGTGTTCATCTAGAACAAAAGAGAAAGAAGGAAACCCAAAAAGCAGACAAGAATTGGACTACAGAACTAAAAATCTACGTAAGTACTGCTGCCTCCACTTTCTGACCAGAACTAGCTGGTCCTGGCTACCACAACTGAATGCTCTAATCCTGAACACAATAGATGAGTCCTGATAGAAAATGGTGAAATGTGGAAGAGAACTTGAAATTCTTAAAGTATCCAGACTTTCTGGACCTATTTGACTGGAGGAGTCTTGAAGACTATGGTCCTGACTTGCTCTGAATTGAAATTATCCACTGAAGTCAACTTTATAAATCAAGGAACTGTTTAGCAAGGAATAAAGACTCATCTGTGAGTATAGCATTAGATGTTGTTGTTATGTGCCGTCGAGTCGGCCCCGACTCATAGTGACCCCTCCTTGGGTTTCCGAGACAGTATCACTGAAGTAGGAATGCCCAACCTTCCTTCCGAGCATTAGATAGATGTAGCCGAAGGGTCAACAGCTATTTTAAAGCATAGATGAGAAGATTGAGGATCAGGGAGATGAAGGAAATAGAAGTGAAATAAATAGAAGAGAGATAACGAAAATGCTGACACGATGTGAATGTTACCAAAGTCACCAATCACTATGTCCAGAAACTCGCATGGAAACGGGTTTTGCTGTGTATATTTTTACCAAAACAAAGGCAAATACTATTGCATACCCAATTATGTAATAATAATCATCTTCAAGTGGATATATAGACCTCAAGCTAAACAGGGGTGGGGAGGCAAATAGGACTACACCATGAATTTGAATAAGTTTTTTGAAAAATAAATGAAAGAAAACCTTAGGGAACACCATTCTACACTGACACACATGTAATTGCCATCAGTCAGACAGCAAGTGGTTGAAATGAATGGAACACTTGACATTCCATACTCATGGTCCCAAAGCCTTAACATTAAGTTGGCAGTACTCCTAACTAGATGTACAAATTGAATGCAATCTCCAATAAAACCTAAGCTGGCTTCTTTGCAGAAATTGAGGAACTGGTTCTAAAATTCACATGGAAACTCAAGACACTCAGAATAGTCAAAATAATCTTGAGAAGAACAAAGTTGGAGGACTCCTACTTCTTGCTATAAAAACTTACTACAAAGTTACAGTAATCAGAACAGTGTAATACTAGCATAAGGGCAGATATATAGATCAGTGAAATAAAATTGAGAGTCCAGAAATAAACCCATAAATCTATGGCCAGTTATTTTTCACAAGGGTGGCAAGACCATTCAATAGGTAAATAATAATGTCTTCAACAAATACTGCTGAGAAAACTGAATATCCACATGCAAAAGAATGCAGTTGTACACCTACCTTACACTACATACAAAAATTAACTCAGAATAGATAAAAACCTATATTTAAACTATACACCTCTTAGAAAAAAACATAGGTATAAATCTTTGTGATCTGGTATTAGGCAATGGTTTCTTAGATAGGACACCAAAAGCACAAGAAACCAAAGATGAAAAGATAAAATCAAATTTAAAGATTTTTGTGCTTTAAAGAACACCATCAAGGAAGTGAAAAAACAGAATGAGAAAATGTTTGCAAATCATATGCTTGATAAGGGATTCAGATCTAGAAAATAACCCTTACAATTCAACAATAAAAAGACAACCCACTTTTTAAAAATGAGTAAAGGATCTGAATAGCCATTTTTCCAAATATACAAATGGCCAATAAGCATTTGAACAGATGCTCAACATCATTACTCATTACAGGAATGCAAATCAAAACCACAATGAGATACCGCTTCTATCCAGTAGAATGACTATAATCAGAAAGACAAGAGCATGTGTCAGTGAGGATGTGGAGAAATTGGAATCCTCATACACTGTTGATGGGAATGTAAAATGGTTCAGCCATTTTGGAAAATAACCTGACAGTTTCTTAAAGGGTTAAACAGAGTTACCATGATACCTAGCAGTTACACTCCTAGGTTAAAAAAAAAAAAAAAAAAAAAAAATTCACTGCCGTCAAGTCAATTTCAACTCATAGTGACCCCTCCTTGGGTTTCCGAGGTGGTATCACTACAGAAGTAGATTGTCCAACCTTCCTTCCAAGGAGTGGCTGGTGGTTTTGAACAGCCAAACTTCTGGTTAGCAGTCAAATGCTTTAGGCACTATCCCACCAGAGCTCCTACTCCTAGGTATATACCCAATAAAAATGAGAACTTTGTCCACAGAAAAACTTGTGAGCAAATGTTCATAACAATATTGTAATAGCCAAAAAGTGGAAACAACCCAAAATGTCATTAACTGATTAATTGATAAATAAAATATAGTATATCCATATAATGGGATTTGTATTCAGTAATAATATGATAGATACATGCTACAACATTAATGAACCTTGAAAATACGATAATTGAAATAAACTAGTAACTAAAGAACATTGTATGATTCCATGTAAATGAAATATCCGGAATAGGGTAAATC